ATTGATATCTACTTTTTATACTTGAAGCAACAAAGTATCACTCTACTTTCGAAAATAAACCCATTATCAACTTGGTAACCTTTGAGTTCTTATAAAGTATACTCATCTCAGGATATTCGAATATTAAAAGCAGATGCGCTAACGTATGGGTAAGAAAATTCAAACCATCGAATGTGAAATTGAATGAATTTTAGTGACTAATGGTCAATGCAAAAATGTTTAAACAGTGTGTTTAGAAGGAGTCGCAGTACTTAAGCTGTAAATTTTATCAAGAATAAGTGATTTAAAATGTGCTTGCCTTAACAAGAGGCTGTCCCATCTTTTTCTTAGTTTTGCTGCTCAGCGACGAAAAAGCAGCCTGGTATGACGCCTCTTCGCTACTGCTATCTTCTTTCTTAATGACACAGAGCCCATTTTTCCCCGATATCACTGGATCTCTCAATCTCTATACAAAACGATACAGCATGTAGAAACAAAGAAAATTGAGAACCTACGGTATTCATGAACGGACAAAGCACTATAATATCATCATCATCGTACACCGGCTGATAACGACTCGGACGGACTCTTTGTGGCGATGCACTTTTAGTAGCACGTTCAGGATATCGGCGAACAGATGATAAAGGAGGAGCAGAATAGCGTGATCTGGCTCCTTAAAAAATTGCAAAGATAAAATTTGATATGTCTATGAGAACAAATGACTTACGCTCGGAATTGCGACGAGGAACGATTCCATCTTGATACTGAAACATTGAGCTGTTAAGTAGATGAAATCAAAATTGCTCCGCAAATTAAATATACTCTGTGTCTCGTCGGAGTACAAGCAGAGTGCATAACAGAGGAGAAGAGCAGATTCATTTTTGAAAAGAGCAAACATGAGTTAGAGTGTCTCATACTCAAAAGCCAATGCGAGGACTTACTTTGACCAAGCATGACGTCGATCGGCATTTGCTCCTTAACTTTACGGTGACTAAAAAGTATTTTCTAAGTCAAATGTCTTAAAGGAAATACATTTTACTTACAAGTCACTGGGGTACCTTGGCGCCTCACATACGATGTCTTCACTACTGGTTCTCCACGTCTTTGCTTCCCTTAAAAAAGTTAAAAATTGAAATAATTTCTAGAGTTATTTCGAAAGCAACTTTTCCAGATGTGATGGGTCACGGACGCTTCAGCAGTCCCATCTCCTTCACCATAGGTTTCTTCGCCTTTGGTCGGCCAAGTCGCCATCGCGTCCATACTATTCGGATTTTTCTCCATCTTCGAAAGTGAACATTCAAGATCCTTGACATGTATACCACCATTGGTAATAACTTCATCATTGCTTCCATTTGCATTTGCAGAGTTTG